TATCTATTTTGGACCACCAAGGGATCTTTAACGTGCACAACTTGCACACGGGACCTCCGAGATTTTTCGCCCTTTTCCAAAAGGTTTGGTGTAGATCTTATCTACCATAAGATCAGGGGTGTAGCTGAAAGACATCAGTAAGAAGGGGCCAAGGAGTAGCATTAGAAAGGCGGCAGAAAGTCAGGAGCTCAGAGGAGGGGGCAAAGGAAGTGAGGGGGTGGGGGTAGAAAGTGGAGACGAAAGTAGACGACAAAACATTGTTAGAGAGTAGGATAACATTTTCGAGAAGAACGTTTTCCGCCGCTGTCCGGATTCGAACCCGGGACCTATTGAGAGAGATGTGAACACCATAACCTCCAGACCACGAGAGCTCCTGGGGTATTTTAGTGTTAAACAAAATGACAATATCAACGTTGAAAGAGAACAACTAAAAAAAAAAAGTACGAGAAATTGGTCTCTGTTAAAAGAAAAAGTATTTCTAAGTCCTTGATGGGTTTTTCCGATAATTTTTTTTTACAATACTATAAATACCAAGCGTAAAAGGGCCACCATAAAAGAAAAGAAAAAAGGCGACAGAAAAGATACAGAAAAAATGCCTTTTCCAAAGCTGCAGGTGTGGTCAGATTGATCAACATAAATTCTTGCAACAGATGTGCTAATCCCCTCTATAAATACATGTAAATAGTTTTTATCAACACATTATTTTTACAGACCAGTCGTTTCCTCTCATCAATGTCCACATGAAGCGACCATGCAAGGGCCGTGAAACTTCTACCTAACAATTTTTAAAGCCAAACAAATGTAATGCGGGCAGATTTATGTTACGGTCCAAGTCCTTTAAAAGTAGATGGGAACGTTTACCCCAGCCTACATATCCAACCAGGACAGCTCAAGGACACCCTTCTTTACCAAAGTGGTTATATATTTTAATACTAGAGCTCGCAGCAGTTACGTCACACATGTCAGCCATGGGGGCCTTCTTATCGTCATCAGAATGGCTGCACGCCTCCATTTACATAAACAATTTGAACCCACACCGTGCTCCCCAGGAGCTCTAGTATTATAATATAACACCGCCCAGACCCCATATTTCAGTGCAAGCTTGTACATTTCCTCTTACGACTACCGAGACGTCTACAAATGGGTCTCAAAAAGTACTCAACAGTCTGTTGAACTGCGCGTGTCTTCCCTCTGAGGTTCAGTGTCCCACAGTGGGCACACGCAACACCCATTCGTTTACGTGGGGAACATCACCGAAGATTCTTTGACATCATTGCCACGAACTCTAGTACATGTACTAAATATAACCTCTTTGGTCTTCACAATGGTCAGGCGAGTGGCATTAAAAAGTGGGGAATATCACGATTCAGATCTTGTCACGCTTGACTGCGTGAACCGACCACGATTCAGCCCGGTGGACGACAATTTGACTGATACAAGGCTATTATAGGCATATTCTCTTTTTTGTGTGCTCTACTGGGGAAAATACTTTTCCCGAGCAAGGAAAAAAGAAACTTCAGTGCTTTTGAGAAACGACAGTAGACTCCAGTACCAGCCAGCGGAATTCCATGTCGATGAAGAGGCCTCTATGTGAGGTGCCCTGTGTTTTATTTTCTCCGGATGCTCCACTATGACTTATAACTTCCACCTCGGACAAGCCTTGATGCCGAAAATATTTTCCTTGCAAAGAGGCAAAAGCTCAGAACTGGAAAGTTGGTTTAAATTGCTTTCCGCCATGCCTGTTATTGTCTTGCCAGTATTTAAAATAAAAGTAACCTCACAATTAATCTCCTCAAAACGAATCAGGCAGTTCTGAACAGCATCGATTCGTAACTACCTGTCAAGACCAGAAAATGCGAGGCGACTAGCGCTGAATCTGGTGTTGTCGAAAAATATACTTGGTACAGCAACATTTTAGAAAATTATTATGTTCCTCCCTTGGGATCCAAGATTAAAATAATGTTTTAGAATTCATTTTTAATCGTTAAAGGTTTTTGCGGCTAAAAATGTTTTCTTAAAAAAAACACCTTAAGTGACATAGACATAATATATATGCACACATAATCTATTTATGAAAGTGGTTGGGGCGGAGATCGTGATTACCATGTTGATGATGATGATGATGATGATGAGGATGATGATGATGATGATGATGATGAGGATGATGATGATGATGATGATGATGATGATTATGATGATGATGATGATGATGATCCATATTTTGGATGCACTACAAAGACTTGTTGGAAGATAGAATTAACATGTGTCCACGCATGAAACTAAACGTGAGACACAAGCTTTCACTGCAGAAGTGCATCATTATCCTAAAACAAGGAAGGGTGCACTTTGTCCGCTATCAAGGTGCCGCTATCAGCAGTGTCAGTGGATACATGTAAAAACTTGCCTCTCACTGCAACTGATAAATGTTCCCCTTGAGTACGATTACACTACTGCTTTTTGTCATTTAAAAAACGTCTCAACCAGTAGTGTAGGATTTAGGCGCCTCGCTGTCGCGTGCAGGAGTTCCGAGTTCAATTTCCGAGAGGGGAGAAGTTTTATTGAGTATCATGATCTCTCTACTGGGATGCTATATCCCTCTCAGCCAGGGTTGGCCCTGTCGGACACCCTCCTCTTAACTGATCTGAACTTTTGCCGATTGGGGGTGGGG